GGTGGTAGCAGGCCCTATTAATGCTTCTCAGTTTGTTTATCCAGATTGGATTCTACACTTGCTTCCTTTATCAGCATGCCAGGCTAAAAGCAATAAATAATCTCACCCGCCCACAGAGGTTCTCTTTTCTCCTTTTTCTTTCATGTGCCAAATGCTTTTACGAGTGATTGGGTTCAAAATTCCTGCCTATTTTCCACCCTTTATTTCCCTCCCTTGATCCATCTCTAAGTATTCCTTAAGGAACATTTGTATTCAAACTGTTGGATTCAGTCTCTTAAGCAACATCTTTAGTTGAATTTAGGCAAAGAGATGAAACATTGTCCCATCCCAACTTTTCCTCTGGTGAATGCTTATTTCCAATTTTTTATGGTCAAATTAGACTAGATTTGAGTCCAAAAGAAATCAAACAAATAATTTATATTGTTTTTGCTGACCAAGTTAGAGTTTAGTGATTGGTGAGGAAGTCTCTCCACTAAGCAAATTGAAATCAACTTCTTGAATTTTCACTGGTTTATAGACATATGAAAAAAAAGAGAATCATTTTAAATTAATAAGTTTATATTTATTAGAAACTAAAAAGAGAGAGAAATATTTAAAAAAATGTTTACTATTTTTTTTATTAATACTATATGTACAATACTTATATACATGTATTTATAAAAAGAATATTTTAAAGTATAAAATATTTAAAATAAATATAAACAATGTAAATATAATCTGAATAATATGAATAGTTGATCAATTGTCAATTATTATGTTTACATCTTAACACTATTATTATCTTGCGCACCAAAGATTCTTCAAAACATCAACATTGAAGAAAATCTTGTCAAAGAATCTGTCTGTATGTAAATCTTTAAATACTTCCCCCATATATATAGTTCCAAATGCACCATAGAAAATTGATACCCTTCTGCAGTTCTGTGGTTATTCCCTTGTTTTCCAATATCGATCAATAATGGTGAATGATGGGTCTAATCCTCAACTGATGTGCTTGGATATAAAATGGAAACCAAAGATTACACAGATTTGTTCTGTCATTATTTTTTGATGTAGCAGATTCGTATATTGGTTGAGTGTAGTTTCAAAGAATTGTGGATGGTTCAGAGTGAGCAGCACCCTTTGGCACACAAAGGGAATCTTGTTTGCATAGTGCTTCACGGCTTTTATTCATTTAGGTGAAAAAGGGTTTGTGGAAGATTCAGCTCTGGACTAAACCTCTTCTCTCCTTTCTTCATCCCCTATATGCTAAAACCCAAAATTTCATTTTAGCACAAAAAATAAGCAAGATAACCAATGATCTAAACAATTTAGTCTAAAGGTAATCTCTCTTTCATGTGGATAAAAAAAAGTTTAGATTCGAGTTTTAAGAATACAAGCGGAATAGGTAATGAAATGGAAAAGAGTTGTATTTTATTATGTAATTCAAACAAAAAAAAGAAAAAAAAGAAAGAAAGCCTAATAAGAGCTTGACCGAGTTGATACTCACTAATTTAAAAACTTTAAATTAAAGCAAAGTTTAGTGAGAAACCATTTTTCTCATCCGAGGTCATGTGGAGTGTTCTACTAATTAAGAATTTAATTTTTATATTGAAAATTTTAAATTTAAATTTTAGAATAAACATGAAGGAGTTTAAGAAAAGAAAATTTTTTCTTATTGTATATTTTTGGTCAAATGTATTCAAAATTTTTCTCATCCAACAAAGTTAGCTAGCTGGAGCAAAAATTGACTCAATTTACCTAACTTGATTTTAACTTCATTATTAAATGAAAAGATAGAAGAATAAAAGGAATGTTATGAGGCGTGATCTTATTTTTTTTAAGGATTTAAAAATATTTCAAGATACAACAGAACTTAAAAGTCTCTCAGAAATTAGATGTAGAATTCTAACTTTATATAGAAATTTATACTGCTTGAAGAGTCACTATTTACAAGGTGTATCTTTACCGAAAAACACCATTTCATATAAGTACTTTTTTACTTTCAAAAGTTATGTCTATTTTTTAGACATATCTTTTCAAATTCAAATTCAAATTTAATAAAATAAATTCAAAAATCCATAAAAAAAAATTTCCGAAAGTCAAGCCTCAAGTGCCCATCTTTGACTATATATAAGGGGCAAGACCCAACTTACCCCTTAGGTTTTGCTTTATTTATCAATTTGTTGATAAAAAATAAATCTTTATAAACTCTTTTTAAGTTTCCATACTTTCTTGATGTGAGATATTACATTTGCAAAATATTCAACAAATTAAATCAATCAATACATCAGAGACACTAGAAAGTAGAAACTAATGGAATCAAATGCCAAAAATTGATGCCATCCATCTCATGGATCAAGTTCAGAAAAAAGAAGAAAAAAAAAAGAAAAAAAGAAGGAAAGATTAAGTTGGTGGTGGGGGGACCCGTGAGCTCAACTTTAATAGGACAGGAGAGGAGGCCACAACGTGAGCAGCTGAAGGGTGATTGGATTTGGCGTGGTATGGGCATTAGGGCATCACTAGTTGTCTAGTGTACAATTAGTGGATGGTTGGACTTGGCCCTATTATATTCCGTATTTCCTTTGTGCACCATTTCCAGACTTTTTGGATTTCATCCCGTGCAAAGAAAAATGATTGATTGATAATTATTCTTACCAATAATGCTATAGTTATGTTGTTGATAAAAAAATAGATATAATTAGTTATGTAAAATTGTAAATTTATAATAAGAAAATAGTTGATATAATCTTCTAGTTTAACATACTATTAACTAGTTCAGTCATTAAAATCTATAATTGAAAGTTTGTTGCTTGGAATTTAAATTTGAAAATAATAATTTCTTAATAAATGTGTCGTAGAGTATATAGAATTAGATAATATATTAATCATTGTCCTTCATAATTAATGATAACTCATACATATATAACTTTACTTGTCATTTAATGATAACTTTTTTATTCTATTGAAACTTATGATATTATAAACATCCATTTATTTCATCATATATGAAAGTTATATATAAAATTGTACAAAAAAAATTATTTGTATATCATTATCATTGTGCAAATTAAAGTCCAACCAATTTGGACTCACCCTAAGCCCCTATTTCCATGCATCTACTTAAATCCATCTATTTGATTGACCTAATCACACACTTAAATCCTTATAGATCTCAATTATGTCAACTTCTTTATGTCCGCTACACATAATTTTAGCACTTGAATATGATTCTTATAAAAAGCGAAGAGGTTTAAGTCGAGATCATTTCAATGGGACTTTACAACTCTTACGTGAAAAAGTAAAATTCCATCACCAACATTTTCTCCTTTACTACCTTTCATGGTAAATATTACTACAAATCCTAGATTAAATGATATATATACACCAAATTTATTAGAATCTATAAGTTATATTAAATTTTAATTAATTAAAAATCGAGCTGCATTATACTTTTTATGAAAGGAATTCTTCCACCATTTATCTTTTTATTTATAAGATTTAAACTTAAAACTCTATTTAAAAGAGATTGAGTTTCGTTCACTTGCCCAATAAAATGTTGGTGATTAAATGATATATTTGACACACAGATAATAATGTAACAAAGATAAAGTACTACACCAACGATTACCAAATCCATGGTTATGGTCAAACAAAGCATGTAACCAAAACCAATGCCAAATTTTGAATTAAATTAAAAATAAAAAAGTGAAACCGACCATATCCTTCCTTCTATTTATAGAAAGTCTACTTTGGTTGGCTCCTCACTCCCATGTCCCAACCCAAGAATCCATTTTCTCCCCATTCTTTTTAACTGTTGACAATTTCCATAAAACAAAACAGCCAGTTTTTGTCTCTGCAAACCCCAGAGGAAAGAAAAGAACAAAACCACCAGTTTTTGTCTCTGCATACCCCACAGAGAAGAAAACATTGTCTCTCCGCATGTGGATATGAAACCCAACTCATATAATTTCATCTTTGATTTTGCAACCTTTTTTCTATGTGTAATAAAATTCATTCCTCCAATCATTCTATCACCAATTATCAATTCAGCTGTCGGGTATTTTTTTTTTTTAAGAAATAATTTATTAAAAAAAGAAGGTACTCCTACTATTAATTTAAGCAAAGGACTCAGGCTTGATTCAAGTGGGGGGATGAACTGACATAAATCAGGATAAACTTTGCTTTAAGATGAATTAATCCTTCTTAATTAATTAATTATTTGTTTATTTTTTTAAAAATTACTTGATAAA